TTTTGTTGATGGTCTAGATGAGACCGGGTTGATTTTCGTGCTTATTAGCAGAATAAAAAGGCTTGACTTAACAAAGCTAGAATGGTCGTGCAAGTTTGAAGTGTAGTGCCCCACATGAGGTAAGGATGAGGATTAACATTCCATATGTCTTTAAAAAAAAACTATTAATATTCTGTGAATGTTAGTATTGTGGGGGTTGCAGATGTGTATCAGTTGTTTACTTGTTTAGTAAGTATTTCACCCAAGAATTTGGTTGATACTCCCTAATTTATTTGTTACCTGATTCATGATTATTTTCAAGTGGTATCTGTGATGTGGGGGTTTCCAATAATGAAGAATTGATTTCTATATTTATGTTTCACGTAAAGCATGAAGGCTTGTGGGACTGTGGTGATATGTATACTGAATATCTGCTACGTTTATCATGCATGACCTGGATATGCTAAATCCTGTGAAATGTCTCAAGTATATGATTTCTTATGACATGGCATGTTAGTTTTGCACGTTCATAGAATTTGTTCCTATTTCCTAAGCTTTATTCTGAAATTGATGAGTTCATCAGCTAAGGTGTATTTGATTAAAGCTTGAACTAGTTGTGTATCATCTTGATTTTACTTTCTTGATCAAAAGTTGTATGTAGATGGTTTGTTGTGTGGTATGTATTCAAGTAGTGGTGGATGAAAAAATCCTGAACCATATGGATAAACCTTGATTAACTGGTTGTGGAAAGAAGCATGTTAATGCGAGTGTGCGCTCCTTTGAGTATGATATGTTTGAGAAGAGTATATCTTGCCTTGCTATTAAAAATCCATCTGTTGTAAGTAACTTTCAAGGTGAGTTGAAAGAAGGTTGATTGGAAATGAGCTGAAGGTGAGATACTGTGATGTCAGGATTTATTCTGTAAGTTTGGTGCTGACCCACTTTTTTGACTCACCTGGTTTGTTCTAAGTTTGTCTGTTTTGCAGTATGGTTGCTTAAGCTTCCTAGCATGTTTGATTGTTAATCAAGGGTGTGTATTTAAAACGCATGCACAGATGACAACTTAGAAGATGAGGTATTTTTGCTCATGAGGTTATATCCTTTGTGATATGTATGGTGAGTGGGGGTTAGATTTGAGTACCCTAACTTGTTATGTTAAGTTTTTCCTTGGCATGTGTGTTGAACTTCTTGATGTATGTGTGATGTTACTATGGTTCGCATTGATAGAGTTCATATGCTATAATGATCATAAGTTGTTAACTTCACATGCATGTTGTTTATTGAGATAAAGATGTATATGTGTCTCTAAACTAAGAAACAAGTACAAGATAATGAGATAAGCAGAATAGTTCTAGGCAGTATACCAATGAACTAATGAAGGTACGCATCAATCTCATTATTGTGATGTAGAGAAAATGGTTTGGTAAATTATATTTATCATGCTTGAGCCAGAGTTATTTTTATAATTTGGCCTTGATGTTTGATTCAAATGTGCTAATGTTTCGCAATCTAAATGATGAAAAACTATTCTTGACGTGTAGTGGTTTTGTTGTGAATTATATTGTTCATTCTGTTTGTCAAGAGAGAATTACTCAATTATTGTTTGAGTTTCATATAGTACAGGGATGAAGGTTAAAGTGAGAAAGTTTCTCAAGTACCTATCCAGTAAATTCTAAGAGACAATGATTGAATGAACAACGATGATTAGTTAAACCTCTTCAGTGTATGGTTTTTACACGATGAAGGGTGGTGTTCTATTTTGAGTGCGCTGCAAAACAAATTGTTGTACACTATCCATTATGAAGCAAAAGTTCATTAGATTGGATGACGTGGTCAAGATGATGATTGTTGAAAAAATTAATCTCTAGAATTTTTGTCCATTGTGGGGGTAAATTAATCCTCATGTTCTCTACATTATTTTTCACAATTGTCTATGTATGTTGTCAGGAACTACAGATGTAGTGACAAATTTAGACAAATCTTGTGAAGGTGATACTCATGTTAGAGTACGTGAAAGCAAAAAAGAATCAAGCAGGTCCTTATACAAGGATGAAGCACATGTAAGTGCTTGATTGTCTAAGAGAATATATTTAAGATCCTGTGGGGTATTTCAAATTATTCTAGTGACGAAGTTTAAAAATTGAGTCTACGTCCTGAAGTGATCTGGTTTGGTAACCCTCTAATTTATATGGTTATGAGATGCTTTGGTAGACTTGTTGCTTGACGTTTGCAGGTTGAGCTTTAAGTGTTCTTAATATGTCCATAACCCAGGTTGGGTGGTCAATTGAGACAGCTTACATGGATACACCAAAATGTTTTAATTTCTTGAAATCTTGTTCTGAATGGGTCTGGAGCCTTGTTTTGGTTGACTCATTGCTGGATTTACACCATATATGTTTATTGAATCTATAACTCCTTTTTGCGGTTTGTTGACCAGGTAGATAGATTCAGTAAGGTTGAGCGTGGCTCTTAATGTCATTTGTCCAGTTATTCTTTGAGCATGGATTGATAATGGTTCTTAAGTGAATTTAAGGCCGTTAGCCCAGTGGCTCTTAGAGTAGGATTGAAAATGACACCGAAGGTGGAAGGTTGAGCATTGCTTTCTCTTAATACTACTAGCCCAGTTACTACTCGAGTAGGGAACGATAGTGGTACCGAATTACTGAGGTTGGGAGTATCCCTTAATGCATCTAGCCTAAGAGCTCATTGAGCAGTGGATTGATAGATGCACCGTCGAGTTGATAGGGTTGAACTTTACGTTCTTAATGTTCTTATTCCATTGCATAGATAATCTTGGATTTGCAAGGTGCTTGAATGTGTTTTAAGCCTGCAGGGAAAGACCCTAGATATGCTGGGAATGTGTAAGTATTGCACAGACCGAACACCTACGTGAGTACAAGGGGTGGCCTCCTTCAAGGGAAAATTGTGGTGTAATTTTCCTAAAGTACTCATGAGAGCCCAAGGTGTTGGCCAAGAGTGGCGGAGTTGCTCAAGTTCAAAAGGTGAAGTATGTGATACATGTTGGGAGTTCAAACCTTTGGATACTCATCAGAAGAGTGTTGGTTACCTGTGTTACTAAGGCATTAGTTCAAACCTTATGGATACTAGTGCTTAAGTACCTAACCTTTCATTTTACTGTTCAGATTTCATGATCTCATGTCCGTTTTGCATTAGTGGGGGATTGTTAGGGTTTTTACAATTCAAGTAATGCAAATCGGAGATTTACCAAGTGAGTGTGCAAGGAGTTGATGATGGAGTAGTGTGTCAAGCAAGTTAGTGAGTTGCGCGAGACCGAGCTAGCAATGGAGCTAGCGAGAGAGCTATAGATGGCATGGCAAGTAGACTACGCAAGGTCGAGCTAGCGTTAGAGCTGTAGCTCACATGGCATATGAGCTACTGCAAGTCCGAGCTATAGCTCGGATGGTAGCTCGTATGGTCGCTCTGCTTATGGCAGGTGCGAGCTATAGCTCGCGTGCTAGCTCACTAGGATTGTTGCTTGCGGCAGGGCCGAGCGATAGCTCGCTCATAAAAGAGCGAGAGCTCGGCCGCTCGTGGGCTTATCGTGGAGGCCTTGTTTGCTTCATTCATATCCTTTCATTGTACACATATATATATACTCTCCTAAGCCCTCAAAGAGTGATATATAGTTTTGTTATCTCTGGAAACCTAAACACAAAAACAAAAACCTACCCTTGAGATCTGAACAGTTCTTTAGTAATTTCACGCTTCGGGTTCGGGTACACGAATTACGAAGGAGAGTTGCGTTAAACTTGGGGGGCGTGCGTCATCAGGAAACCTGTACCGGTGTTGGCGTATTTCGCTTCTAAGGCAGTGGATTATGTTTCACGGCGCGACTGTGAGTTTGAGATCTTCGATCAAGTATTTTTTTTTCCTTTCATCTTCTCTATTTTTTCATTGGAATCAACAGGTATTTTACCAACAGGCCCACCACAACGGCAAAATTCCATCAGTTAATAATAGCTGTACACGTGAATATGATAATAATATCTGGTACAAGGTATGGCCCATTAAACTGACTTATTGACAAAATGAAGCACATCAACCTGATTGCCTGGGTGCTCCTCCATGCTTAGCACGGTTAGGTGAGAAAACAGTTTTCTATATTCATGTTTAATATCAGTAATCGAATATTATTCCATTATCTTTTTTATTTTATTATATCTTGATTTTTTGGAGATTTTAAACCTCTATATATATTCCTTCTGTCCCTTAATTTTTGCTCCATAAGGGTAATGTTGCTTTATTAATATTTGGTTGGAAAATATTGAAGAGAGAGAAAAGTAGTGGGGGTTAATGGGGTGATTGTGAGAGTAAAGGTATGGTCCCATATATATATATATATATATATATATATATATATATATATATATATATATATATATCTTAAAATAGAATGGGCCGGGGCAAAATAAAAGGGATGGACTAAAAAGGAAATTGAGGCAAAAAATAAGGGACAAGCAAAAAATAAGGGACAAAAGGAGTATTATTAAGAGTTATGATAATTGTACTAATTTCATTATTACTTGTGATGAGTGATGATCTTTGGTGATGAAAATTTGTTACAGTTTCCCTTTTATCAGTCTTTGAGATGATACAATTTATTTTTCAAGTTTTGGTGATCGACCATGTAAGTCATAAGTTTTCACCCCAACTTTCCATAACTCTACGAAGCTAAGGGAAAGGGAGATGAAGGAAAGGAGATTGAAATAAACATATGTTACAAATACAAAGTCTTGAATCTATCTTACTATAATCAAGATATTTAAATTTAATCAACTTTATTATTAATTGCTATAAAGAAATTACGATAACTTGGAATAGCGCGCACACAACTAGTTTATATAAAGAGTACATCAAATCATTTTAAATTAAAAAAAACAGTAGGGGTATCATGTAAGGACTTTAAAAAGTACTTTTAAAACCCAAAAAAAAAAATACAGGCCACGAATGTAGGCCTAAACAAAAAAACACAAGTATGAAATGTGGAGAAAATCAAAAACTCAAATAGAAAAGGGTTGAGCATAAATTGCAACAATATCTTCTTTGATTGTGGTTTTCACAAAAGTGAGGCCATCTCCAAACTTATAGAAGGACTCCGCTGCACGAGCAAGGTTAAGCATCCGATCATAAACAGGCTTGGACAAGTGATCATAGTCATGAGGACATGGGTTGATTAGCAACCCCTCATTTACGAGATCCTTCCATGCATCGTCAATAATTTTTTTAAATACTTGCAACACTTCTTCGTGACTCATACTATAATCATTCATGTAGCATTCCACACTTGAAGCAAGGCGTACACCTCTTGCTAGCTCGGCCTATATAATCAATGTGAACGCGACATCAAATATTGTCACATACATTTATTAAACACAATGATCATATATTAGAAGAAAACATAAAAGAAATTTTCATCAATTTACTACGGGTCTGTTCTCATACGTTGAAATTCAGTTCAACTCAGTTCAGTTCAACTCACTTCAGTTCAGTTCATCTCCTAATTTCCTTCTCTTATAAAATATTTATTTCACTTCAGTTCAGTTCAGCTCAGCTCAGTTCAGTTCAGTTCAGTTCAGCTGAGTTCAGTCAACGAGAACATGCCCTACATATGCTAGTTGCCCAAAAAAAAAGGAACATTTAATTTGCTAGATCTTGTGGTCTTACCTTGCCGGTAGTCATGTCATCCATGAGCCGGCAAATGTTCGAGCTAGCTGTAATCGCCGTAGTGTATTGCATCAACTGGATATATGGTTTTGCTTCTGCAATCTCTTCCATACCCATCAACAATATAGTCCCTATGATTTGCATACCGGCTGTATTTCTTCCATTGAACATGTATTCCTCAAATGTTGGCACATATTTTGATTTCACCCACTTTATCTCAGTATAGTAGTTTCTTATTGATCTTTTCACCTATAGGCCAGGACAACAACATTTTCACATTTACAATCCCGGAAATGGATCTATATTGGACAATATTTTCACATTTACAATAACGTGGAAATGATTTTGGCATACCAAAAATTGATTTTGACACATCTGTTTATGACAACATATACAATTTTCTAAGCTCTTTTTTCACATAGAGGTGTGTCAATATTAATCAAAGGCGTGCCAAAATCAGTTTATATATAAAACTTCAAGGCCTTACTTGTTCTTTTGCAAAAAAACCAGCATATGGCTTTCCGATTTTTGTCATCTCCTTGGCAACATCGTCAAGAGTTGTAATGACAAATTCGTACAAGATTTTCATATAATTAGCCGAAAACTTCTCCATTAAGTCCCACCTGGAATGACACATGTAATTAATTAAAGTTGTATTAAATTTAGTTAGGAATTGACAAACAATACAATTAATTGCAAATAGATGGAGTATATATATCACATATAGACATATAGTACCTCTCAAATGCATTGGCGAGACACTCGAGTTCCTCAAAAGTTCCATATGCATCATATGTATCATCTAAAAACGATAGAAGAACTAAAAGTTTGGAAAATAATATTCTAGCAAGAGAATATTGAGGTACATAATACATAATAATTGACAAGTAGTGATATTCAACTTGTCTCTGCCTTAAATGAGGAAATTTCCTTGCCAATTCTAAGTTTTTGCACCACCTGTGAAATAGGCAAAAGCATCAAAATAGTTAGGATTTGAGAAAGTCTAGATATTAGAATAGACTATCCAACAAGGATATAAATATCAATAACTTTTAGAATCGTCTCTTTGAAATAGCTTAGCTCACAAACTTAGCTTTTTGGAGATTAATAGAACAAGTTATAATAAATTATGAGCTTAAAAGAAGCTCTTTTGAAAAAAAAAATTAAAAAGAATATTTTGTGAGATATTAGCTAATAAAACTCAGATTTTGTGAGAAACGACCTAATAAAAAAATTGTAATAAATTGTCTAATAAAAAGTAAAGTTTTGTAAGAAATTACCTAATAAAAGGTCGAACGTTGTACAATACTACATATGTTGGATTTCCACCGTTGACCAATCTTAAACACCTCCCAAAACTACTGCTCTCATCCCCAAAACCCATACAACATACTTGAAATAGCCTCCACCATGCCGAAACTACCCTCTAACCCCAAAACCACCACTTATAAACCCAAAAAGCACCCTCTCGAAACGATACCCTCACCAACTCACCTCGAAAATAACCTTACCACGTTAAAAACCAACCTCGCGGCGGTTTCGATGGTGTTTTGAGGTGGTCAACGCCATAAAATTAGGTTAACGGTGGCAATTCGGTCAAAGATAGTAGTTTACAACATGTTACTTTTTATTAGGTAGTTTTTCATTAAAATTAGGTTTAATTAGGTAGTTTCTGACAAAAAAAAAAAAAAAAAAAAAAAAACCGAAAAAGATAAATTCTAAGTAGTCCAATTAAACATCTATTTTTGATCAAATGTTTTAATAAGCACTCAATTTTTATTTTTTTTTCAAAAACTCAATCTTTTTACTAAACACCCCTAAAGTGTTTTAATTCAAATGGATTAGCTACTAACTCCTGGATTTGGCTCAACTCTTGGCAATGTAACAATTGCAATCGGTTGAATTCAAGCTTTGCGAGTTGAAGAAGCTTTTCATCGCAAGACTCAAAATCTTGCTCGTAAAAGTTAATGAATCGTTGTGATTGTAACCTTTGATTTCCACGGTGCAAGGGCTGCTTCAATGCGAGGCGAGCTTGCTCAGAGAATGTTGAAATGGAGTTAAGAAAATCGGTGGTGAAAGTAAGGGCTTCCTCAAGAATGTGTTCATCATGTATCCTTAAATGGGCAGCCTCATACAAGCTTAGCATGCCCCTTTCATCGCTCCTTGATGATTCTTTAAACTTGCCTTTATTATTTGTAAACTTGTAGAATACATCTGGATTTATGTTGCAATAATTCTTTTAGTTTGCTGATACATTATTTGTTCATTTAAGAAGAATAAAAATAAATAAATTTAACTCTTAGAAGTTTATTCCAGATATGCATGCATGCATAAGTTTAATTGTTAGATTGTGAATTTATTAGCTAAGTAACCATATGTTCCTATTTAATCTAATGTATATATTATTCTAACGAGATAGTCCCAGTTAATCAATTTAATAAATAAAATTTGTTTATCAAATGGCAAAATGGTACATAAAACAAATTTTGTTTATCAAATTGAATTGATTAACTAGTATTTTTTGTTATTAGATCTTGTCAAAAAAAAAAAAAAAAAAAAAAAGCATTATTAGATAAGATGATAAAAACCATTAATTTTACATTAAGGTAAAAACAACGTAGACTTACCACAAGGCATATTATATCCATGTTGCCTGAATATTCGAAAAAAACGATGAGGTATCAGATAAATCATAGTCCATAACAAAATTACTTTTCTTAAGTTTTGTATAAAACTTTTCTAATAATTCTTTTATTTCGTTCTCAAAGTAATAAGGAAACCCTAAACGTTCCACGACATCAATCAAACGCATCTTCTGGCGCAAATCCGTAGAATCATCCATTAGCATTAACCGCACTTCATTCTTCAGCGGCTTGATTTCTTTTGCATATTCATCCATCCTCTTAAAATACGTATGAAAAAAATTAAAAAATCGTTAGAATCATATTGACTATGTGCTCCATATTTTAAGAAAAACTATTATGTAATAAGATACTCGTGTACCCTACTTACGTGTAGGGCATGGAGGGTGCCTAATCAAATAATCAATGATCAAAAAAAAATTTTATGCATCGGATGTACAATAATAAGTTTAATATACATTAGGTTATTGTAAATCAAAAGTTGTCCATTTTATCATAAAAGTTACCCTTCAGGCTTGTTTATATTTACTAATTTGATCTGAACTGAAATGAACTCAATTGATTGGAGCTGTACTGAATTGATTGGAGATGAACTGAACTGAAGTGAGCTGAAATGAATGTTTTATGAGAGAGGGAAATTAAGAGCTGAACTGAACTGATAGGAGCTGAAATGAATATTTTATAAGAGAGGGAAATTAAGAGCTGAACTGAACTGATTGGAGCTGAACTGAACTAAATTAAACTTAAATTAAGTAAATGTGAACAGATCCTTAGTCCAACAAAAATTACCCTTATTACACAATTACTTTTATTCTCACATAATTACCTTTAACCTATCAAAATACTAGTTACTTTTATTCTCAAAAAATTACCCATATTAATTACTCAGTTACTTTTATTCTTAAAAAATTACCCATATTAGTTACTCAGTTACTTTTATTCTTAAAAAATTACCCATATTAGTTATTCAGTTACTTTTATTCTTAAAAAGTTACTTATATTACTCAGTTACTTTTATTCTTAAAAAGTTACCCATATTACTCAATTACTACTGATACTGTAAAAAGTTAAGTAATACCGATAAGTGTTCAAGAGTGAAGTTGTCGAAGCGATCACCCCATATGTCTGGGGGAAATGAGCAAGAGGTCTATGCATATCTGCCTCTTCTTGAGAAGATGTTTCTCCATTCGACGTGTAGGTTGAGGAGTAAGAACTTTGTCGTCGGTAATCACATTTGGCCACAAAAGTCTGGTATTTTAGTAAGGGAGCACCATAGCATTGAGGGGCGGCAAGGGGTGTCGCACAATGGTATGAGCACGGTGGTGCGAGTAGTGCAAGAGGGAAAGACTTGGCTATGAAAATTTGTGAAGCTCAGGGGCCGGGTGAATTTGAACTAGAACGAAGCTAAGGTAAGTAGAGAGTTTGAGACAGAGTCTAAAATAGAGAACATTTATAAGCTATTTAGTTGACTAAGTAATAATCTAGTGTGTGGCCTCCGATGTTGGAAGGTAGTGAGTTTGAGAAAAAGAGTCTAAAATAGAGAACACTAGAGTATTCCGTGCGATGCACGATTTTAACAAAAAAAAATTATAGCCTAGAACTTGTATATAAAATGAATCTTATAATTTTGTCATAAATTTATTGGAAGGAATGCAGTTGCTATTTAATTTTACCTAAAAGCTACTCAAAAGCTAGTATCGAACACGCCCTTAGTGTACTCTAATTTTCTAGATTGGAGTTGTTGAAATAATTACTTAGCTTGTTTACGAAGTATCTCTCTCTCTCTCATACACACACAAAAAGTATCACAAAATTGACATCATCAATGGTTCTAGACGGAAATTTTAATTTATAAGGAAGCGACATGTATACAGTTTTGAGGAAAGATATGCAAGCCATGTTTTTTTTTAGTAATAATTAATAGATTTATAAGCTATTTAATTGACTAAGGTTTTTTTTTTCTTTTTTTTTTAGCCACAAGAGCGGATAATGAGAATTGATCCCAAGATCTCTTGAAACCGAGAGGGGATCTCTAACAACTTGAGCTATCCCTCAATCTCAGGTGACTAAAGTATTTAAAATTAAACTAGTGTGTGGCCTATACTGAATTGCTACTTTAAGACACAATGACACAATGTTAGTATAAAAATAAAGAGAATTTTAATAATATCACTTTCTAGTGTCTTGACCAAAGATATATTTAATAATAAAGAGACTATTATTCCTCTTTTTTTTTTTTTCAGGCTATGCTTACTCAAAGATATATTTAATTATGTGTATATAATTAACCTAACTTGTTATTGGCCAAGATGGTAAGAAATGTGATTTTATATATGAGGTTCATTAGTCGAAACTTGATTGTGGCACGCTTACTTGGGATCGTTTGAAGACATGGGTGTATAAGGTTGGATTATTAAAAAAGAAAAAATCAATCAAAAAGTTGGATTAATAATAAAAAAAAATAGACAAAATATTATATTTTTAAATTAAATGTTTGTACTGCCTCTTTTTTTTTATTATTTGCAACTATGGGGTATTATTTGTGAGATATAAAATACTCCAAATTTGCAAATAATAACAATCGGAGGTAGTATTTTATATGAAAATGTTAAAAATATTAGTAAAATTATGTAGAATATTATAGAATTATCCCATTGCTACAGATAATAATGATAACTTTTTTTTTTTGAAACAAATCAATTCATTGATAAAAACCCATACGACACCTACAGGTGAAATATAAATTAGCAAATAAAAAAATTGAATCAAATTAGGGTTTCCTTCATCAAAGCTACGATCGTTGAAAAGATCTTGCAATGTAGTACATTTCTTCGCACACTTCGCTACAATATACCTCCATTTTGGAGAGACGGTCTAATGATTTGTTGTTTCCGTAAGGATGACTTTCATTTGATTCGCTTGAACATATTTGAAAATAAATTTGACAACCGTTGGGATCCCGAACAAATCTTTACCAACGAATTAACAATAGAGAAAAAGATGTTACCTTTTTTTATAAACTCTTACATATAAATAAACCTTAAACATAAACAAACAACTAAACTAACAAAAATGAACTAAAGACTCCACCATAGGGAGGCAGACAAATATCTACATTACTCATGTAGATTTATTGAGACCTAAATTGCAAAGCTAAAAAAATAAGGGAAAATGGTCAGAAAAAGTCTTAATTCCGAAGAAATTAAACTATTTTCGACCTAAACGACCAAGATTTGGGAGAAATCCTAGAAGAGAGGAGGAGAGAAGAGGTGTGGGGAGGCGAGATATTTTTTTCTTGCGTTAGATATCCAACTAATAATAATTGACAACATGAATCATGAATCGTGAAATGATATTTTTCCAATCTATCTATGTCAAAAAATTGATCAAAGCACAGATAATTAGAATAATGTGTCAATGAAGACTTTTTGACATATTGTTACAGACTCACAATGAGCAATCTTCAAGATATCAATGACTCCACATCAAAGATTTGTTTAATTTGACATTTCTTTATTTAGGTAATTGTAATCAATGGCTCCACATCAAACATTGCATCGATTTTGTTGATACTTAGTCCCCCGTCACTATAATTGTAACCATAAGAACTTTGATTGCTATTGCTTGCATTTATTTTTTTTACTCCATATCCTGTTACGCGTGAACATCGGAAATATGTTGTTCAATGTCGGAAATATGTTGTCGGAAATATGTTGTCATACAAAAACGAAAAGAAAAGGAAAAAAAATTACATTAAGATTTGAAGTTGTCAAAAAAAATTGAAGTTGATCAAATTAAACTTCAGACAAATTTAAATATAATCAAACTTAGAAAAAGCTTTTCAAACTTTTAAATATAATCAAACTTCAATTTTGAAGTTGCCTAACATTTCAAACTTCAGACTTTAAAGTTGAATTCAAACTTTTCAATAAACTTCAAACTTCAAACTTTAGATTTGATGTTGCCAAACTTTTCAAATCACATTATGAAGGTTCAATGGGCACTCAAGAGGGGGGGGGTGAATTGAGTGTTAAGTAATCGTTGGCTAATTTTGCTTCTTTTCGGATTATGTGTGAGGAACCAGTTGTGCTGGTTCCCGTACGCAGCGGAATATAAATAAGCAATAAAGAAGACAACAAATTTAACGAAACAAAGCAATAAAGAACACAACAAATTTAACGAGGTTCAGCCAACTCAGGCCTACGTCCTCCTATCCTAAGTTCTTTATTAATCTACTCCGAAAAACAAAGACAAAGAACACTCTGCTGTTCCCTACTCCGGGAACCAGCAAACCCCACACTCTACTCCGAGTGTGCTCTCGACTTACACTCGTAAGCCCAATGTGTTTGAACTCACAAACACTCACCCAGCCTTTAACCCCTTTGTTAAAGACTCAATACAAGAATCAAGAACTCTCCTTTGATCTCACTTCTACGAAGCTAATTAAGAGAAAAAGTTTAAGTACTAGAATGCTCTTGTATATGACTTGATGAATGGGATTAGTGCTTAAGTAAATGCTCTCAAATAATTGCTCTTTTAATTTCTGGAGAGGCACACGAAATATGTGAAATAAGATGAGTTTATATAAGCTTAGATTCCTAAAACCTAGTTTCCTTAAATCACACAATCTTAGAGAATAAGATATAATGTAATTTTAGGAAAGTTTTTATCTTATTTGATTTAATCACAAAGATAGAATCAATTAAGATAAATACTCCTAGTTTTTAGGTAACCAAGAATATTTCATCTTATTTCCAGCTGCACAAAATATTTTCAAGATAATCTTTTCGAAAAAATCTTTTTGTAAAATCTTTTTCCAAAACAGCAGCTCGAATATTTCGTACAGTGAACCTGGTTCCCCGACCTGGTTCCCTGAATTGAAACATGTTATGAAACCTGTTCCAACTCTGTACCAGATTTCATATCATACTTCAATATACTTTTAAGCACTTATATAACCCAAACATGCAAGCATACTACGGAGCATATTACATGAAAACCTAGATAACAT